GCATCAAAATGCTCATCAGGGCCAGATGTTTGATAAATATATTGAACTTATTAACAGATCTCATATTTATGCTCTTTCAGAACGAACAAATGCTAATTCTAACTAAAAAAAATAACAACTTATGTGTATAATCATGTTATGTACTAAAAAAATAAATGGTTCTAAAATATAAATCTTGTGACGTTTCAAATAAAACTCAAAAAGTGTTTTAAATTTGAAAGGGAGAATTAGCGTTCGTTCGTTCCAAAAGAGTATAAATATGAGATCTTTTAAATTTAATAAGTTCAATAGATTTATCATATGATATCTGACCTTGATGAGCGTTTCAACGTGAATCTCAGCTAACCAGAAGAAGTCACTTGAACTTTTCTTGATTTAAGTGATAACTCAAGTTGAACGCTTTTTAGCAGAAATTCCGCTAGCCTGAAAAAGCACGTTAAAAATTCTCGTAATTTTCACATATTTTTTCATTTTTGCTATAATTAAACTAGATTGAGAACTGATTTTTTTGCTCAGTGATCCATGTTAATATGCTGATCAAAACATGTCTTACGTGGAAACCGGAGGCATGACAAATGGAAAAAAAAGTTACTACAAAGTCTACGCAATACTACACTACATATCACCAAATAAAAATGAATCCGATGATTAAAAAATAAATAAAGGAATGTAAAATAAAAGTAAAAGTTATTTTTCGTTGTTGTTTTTTTTTTTTTTTTTTCTGAAAAAATTTGTTTATATTGATTGACTATCAATTATAGATTTAGAAATGTTATTGTTTTGTTTTTATTCAGCGTGTGCAACAGTTGGTAGGTTATATAGCGTGTTTTCCAAAAAGGAATCTTGTATGTGAATGTGATGACGGCATTGGCAAGAAGCGGCAAATAATCGAGGAGGTGCATCCTTGTGATGCGAAATAAATAGTAACCTCCAGTGTTTTGGGCTGCTTGAAATCAACAAGCAACCTCTCATACACACTGGGATGCAGACACGGATCTTTAACACTCACCTGCTTTTTCAGCCTCCCACTCCGTGCAATTTATTAACTCCCACCGCTACCATCACTTATTCGAGAACTGCTGCTGTTGCCGCCACAGATCCATTTATTAAAGAGATAGATGCAGAAATCATGTTGGCTTTCTAAACTACCACCACTGCCACTTAAGTCCTCTACGAAGAAACTGGCTTGAAGCAGCTAGCAAAATTACTGTTAAAATCCGAAAGAACATTTTTTTTGTTTTTGTTGTGGTGTGTGAACCCAGTATTTTTTTTCCGAGACCCTTAAAGATAGGTGGGGAATGGTGGTGGCTACTGGCTGTTCTTATTTATTAAATCTAAATCAGGTAAATACGTACCTTTTATTCTTTGTTTTACTTGAAAACTTTTCATTTATATTGAATAGGAAAAAAGTTATTTTTCTCTTTTTTATACACTTTTCTCTTTTCTTGCTGTTGTAAAAGTTTAAGAACGTACAATAAAACCTTTGATCCAACGTGGTTGAGGTCCGTTATTACAAAAACCAAAACAAATAAAAAAGAAGACAACTTTACAGGTTCAAGCCTTCTCACGTCATCCACCTTGCAAATAAAAAAATATAATACAGACATTGGCAATAGTTTTTCTAACGATTTTAGTTTGTATTATTATCTAAATTTTCATTTAATTTTTAAAAAAACTCTAACAAATTCCCCCTTTTTAAAAAAAAAATAAATAAATAAACAAAACTTTTTTCTCCTTCGCTTTCTGTGACGCAAGTTTTTTTTAATGATCTACTTTTAAATTTTAAGCTTTTAATTTACTTGTTTATTTTTCTACTATAGAAAATAGTTTAAACAATTTACGAACAATGACTCAAATAGTTTCTGTGGTTTTTATTATCGACCATCTTCATCTTTCTTACCTGTTGTCTTCCTTGGATAGCAGGTACATTCTGTGTGTGTCTTTTTTTTTTTTTTTTTTTTACGTCCGAAGTAGATCTCTTATTTTTACTTTTACTTTGTAGAGCTCATTGAAATAAAATAAAAATGAATACTACTCTGAAACAACCTGAAATTTTCTATAACTGCAGAAACTTTTTAAATTTGCAATATTTCATTTCGATAATAATTTTTTTCATTGGTTCAGTAAAAGAAAAAATTCAAAAGATGCTAAAAAAAAATTTCTTTTTTTTAAAAAAAAAAAAAAAATTATTTCCGTTTAAATTTACAGCTTTCTCTTTCCCTCTCTCTTCCTCCCCACTCTCTCTCTCTCTCACAGTTTTTAGTGCAACTGTGGAATTTGGAGAAAACTCGTTTTTACATAAACTTTTTTCCATTTCATTTTCATGTAGTTATTTCTTTTACATACTTCTAGATTTTACTCCTGTCTGTCTCTTTCCCACATGATTAAACCCTCTGGATTCTTTGGGGCATGCTTCTCCTATTTTAGTTATATTAATAAAGACATGCAGATGCCAATTTGTGTTATATTTTTTATTTATTTATCTGCTTTCAAAATATTCTGTTATTTATCTTCCTCATTCATTGATGAGAGGCCAAAATGTTGTTTCAGTCATTTCATTCATTGGGACACCCCAGATCAATGATTGTAAGTTTGTATTCTGGTATATTTGTATTTGAAAAAAAAAAAGAAGATTGGCAGGGTATGTTAGAACCCATATAAACAGCTTTTACAATAACAAGCAGCAAACTTCCTGAATGTCATTGTTTAGAGTGTGTTTGTGTATTTATTTAGCTCTTGTTGAAACCTATGGCTAAGTTATTATTATCAAATATTTTTCTTTTATCTCATGATATATAAATGCTATTTTTGAAAACTGATTTTAATTTTAATAAATAATCTTATTTTGCGTTTATGCCAAGTTTACTAAATTTATTATATGTTTCATGTTATTTCACTGGAAAAAATTAAGAACTGTTAATATTGTTGATTAAAGTTTGCCAAAGTTTCAAAAATACTTTAATAATAATTTTTGCACAAGACACAAGAAGCAATTTCCATGAATTGTTTAAGCAATAAGTTTATTGGTTTAATTATTGTTCACATTGACCTACAAGGAATATCTGCCAACATATTAATTTTTCTCTTAGTAAAAATGTATTTGAAATTTTCTTTGAAAAATATTTCTTAACTGCCATTAATCATTGTTAGGAAATTTTATTTCCATTTGAATCAACCTTTACACATTGAACAGAAAACAACAAATAGATATAGTTGCCTTTAAAATTATCTGCCCAACACATTTAGTTTTTCTTTTTTTTTTTCTGTTTTTTTTTTCTGTTTTTCTTTTTTTCAATTCTATATCTATAATCAAATATTAGTTCTTAGTCTTTTGTTCTTGAAGCAGATTCTGATGGAGATATGATCTTTGTTGTTCCAATCATTTTACAGCAATTTCACCTCCAGTTCTAAAAACTGAATGATAAAAATATTTTATAATTTAAGATAATTTACCAACAGTAGTCTGCATGTAAATGGTTTAAATAATGACAAAAATATGTTTGAGTTAATCATAAGTGACCACTTATTTTGTATAATGTCCATGTTGGAAGTGTTTATCAGTAAAACTCTTTTTGGCCTTTGTGGTTTTCTGAAGCTTTGTAGACTTATTCAGAAATTATGCAAGACAGTTTACTACATTTTTCTCAAGTGTATAAGTTTGGATAAGCAATCTTCCATATTGGCAGAAATTAAAAAGTGTTGATATAATATGGCCACATTCAAGCAGGGCCCCTGTTTTACTTTTAGCTAAATAGTCTTTATATTCTATATTGATATCAAAGTCCAAAAAAGATTTAGAATATAATTAAACAATTTTCATAAGTATATTTTATCAATATTTCAGTGAAAAGATTTCTGCTATTAAATGCTTAGATTTAATGAGCTGTGGGGTAATGATCCTCCAAGTCTTGAAGACACATGACAGAGTTGGAGAGAGAGATTTAAAAAGTATAAAGAAACTTTGTAAAAGATTTTTGTGATTTGTTAATTCTGTTCTCTTTGCATGAGAAAATAAAAATGGATAAATTAAGATTTTCACTCCAGACTTAATTATTTTGCATTTTGTAACAAAGCTATCCTTTTATATTACTTTAGAGTGTGTGTGCATGAGATGAGAGAGAGCATTAAGGAAATCTGAAATTATACTTACTCCTTGTTGCATAAAAAAATTGATATTAATTTCTATATTTCTACTGTATATCCAACACTGGTCCAAAAGTAAGCAATGCATTTTAACTGACAGATTGGAAAACTGGAACAAGGATTAGAAAAGATATAAAAGATGAAATGTTGAGTGTAGAAGTTTATTTGATCTCTATTTTGTTTCAATCAGAATTTCATTAAGAAAGCTCTCTTGTGACCACTAGGAAGATAAAGTTCTACCAATGCAAGAAACTTGCAATCTGTTTTGGCACTTGTATACTCATCTGCTTCTTTTAGAAAGAGAAGTTCATTTAATATTAACTTTTACTTTTTTCATTTTTTTTTGTAGATGTCTTTCTGGGTGATCATATTTGTATAATCAGTTATGCAAAAATGCACACAATCATTAACTGTGAATTGCATGTACAAACATATGTTTGTCTATCAAAAAGCACAGGAATATTTTGAAATTTAAATCATATCCACACTTTTGCTATAAAATTTGTATTATTCAAGAAGAAACATTTTTTCATTAGTTTAATTGAAATGTTTATGGGATGGAAATGACTTCATTATAGTATTTTTGTCAATACCTCTAACTTCTTTTGTCCTGAATTTCTCTCTGCTCTATCTCCTTTTTTTTCTGTCTCCACCTCCTCATCAAGACTGCATCTCTCTGTCTTTTTTTCTCTATACTCTTCATTGTTAACTCAACCCTCTTCTTTATTCTATATAAAAATAAATTGTAATAAGAAATTGAAATAAATTACTCTGGTGATCATATTTTGCATTTTGTTTCAGTTTCACTTATTTATTTATTTGCAGGGTCAGAAAGATTTAAGTGATCCAGTTTGAAAATGATTGGAGGTAAGTAGCAGTTTGTTACTTACCCAGCATGTATCCTACAAAAAATAATGTATTTTTATTGCTTTGAATATAGTAAATTGTTCTAAAAAATGTCTATTTGAAATTTTTTATAACTGCACAGTTAAATTTATCTTTACATTTAGTCATATTAAAGTAGTCTATGATTTCATTCCTGTGTATGTTGTTTAATATTTACCACTAATCATATTATAACATCAATATTTCTCAGTAAGAATCAAACAGACTAAAAGACAATTATCAGTGTCTTCATCCTAAAGTGCTTGAATGTAAAATTAAATATTTGGAGACTCTTTCAAGCTACCGTGATACCATTTGACACCAATATCTCTGACAGTCCTTAAGACCACCCAAAGATTCAGATACTTTCTGTGCTTTGATAAAGACTATATTTTTCTTTGATATAAGCTTTTGCCATTTGGTGGCTGGGATGTTACTGAGTTGAAGTTTTTAAGGAGTTTAAATATGATCATTGAACATTTTAGTTCTTTGGTAATTCAGGAGTCCTTTAATTCAACACTTTCTTGATTGTATGACACTTTGTTTTAATTGTGAACCTTTGAAAAAATAGATTTACTTTCCTCAAGTACAATCACTTGCAACAGAGCAACATTGTGTGCATTCATTGTTTCTTATTAGCCAACATCCTTGGTCATGGTATTTTCAGGGCCAAATATATCAGCTGAAAATTGGAAAATGACTAACTCAAAATACCATTGCTTAATGATGAACATCCAAACTATTTTGTTAATTTATATATATATATATATATATATATATATATATACAATGGTAGACAATTTTACTATAGTGAGTGATATGCATACAGCATTTATAAAGCATGTCTCACACAAGACACCATTCTTCAATGAATGCTCTATAAATATGCTTTTGTTATGATAGTTTAATGAGTTTAGGCTTTCATGCAAGAAACCTGTGCTACTAGTGAATGGTTTTGAATGACTATAACACTTTGAGAGTCAATCAGTTTTTGCAGGATAATGCTGTTGGCATCCTTGACAGCAATGCTGTTCCACAGCTTTTCATTAAAATCTTCATATAATATATAAAAACATTTGGTTACTTCTCAGGAAATCAATGTTTATTTCATATAGCTTTTTTTCATAATAGTTCAATTTTATACAAATCTTTCTAAATATCAATTTCTGTAAAAATTATAAAATGTTGGTCTTCATAAGCAAATGTAGTTTCAAATTGTTTTATTTTGAGCAAATTTCATTCAACTGCAACTTTTAAAGCAATGTTTTTGGTCTACTAAGAAAAACAAAAAATGAGATTTTTAATATAATTAAAAATTTGAAACAATGTAAACTGAATTCTATTTTCATTCTTGCTGGTATCAAATAATCAAACATTTAGAACAATTATTTACTTTTCAGTTGTCTGGTGAATTCAAAAAGAAATTCAACTTTGGCACAAGATAATTTGACTCAACTTTGAAGATGCTATCATCCTTGATTGAAAGTGTCCGATAAAGAATGTATATAACAATTTTTAAAGAATCTAGTTGTTTTGTCATGCATAAATAAACATGAATGCAGATCTCCTGTGGAAAATGTGAAAATAGGCCATGGGAAATAGAAATGGAGGGAAGAATTGTGTTATCTAAAATGGGTGGCTTTAAAAGTTATCTGTTGATAATTGTTGTGTAGTATTTTCGTGTAAGGGAAGGGCTGTGTGTGGTTAACTCTTTTGTGATAGGAAGTGGGTGCAGATTGTGTGGGACAGGTATCTGTATATGGTGGGAGGTTCAAGAGTACTTGTAATGTCAAGAATGCCAAGTTATGTATGGCATGTTTAGTTGGATGATTTAGAACTGTTTAGTAGTTCTATTTTTTTTTTCATTAACATTAATAATTAAAACTAGAGAATAGCTAGCTTCAGTTTTGTAAATTTCTACATTTTATATTCCCAAATGAATTCTTTTCACAATTTATGTTTGCTATACATTGTTTTAGAACATTTGCTCCAGGATCAGATTTTCCTTTAGTATTTAACACTTTTTTCTATTTTCTTATCTTGCTTCTCTAAAATCATTTTCCAGTGTTAATGAAAGTTTGTAGTAATATTTATTTACTTGAAATGTGTTATTGAAATTCACTTTGATTTAGATAATGTTAAAAATTGCTATTATGATCTGATGCAATTTCTTTAAAGTTTATGCTTTTTATATTTGTAGCTGGGTAGAAAATCATACAAGGATGTTAGTAAGAATAATTATAATTAAATGAACATACATTTTTCTATACATATTTGATAATTTCTGTTGTGTAAAATAATGACTAAAAATTGTTTTTTTTTTCCAATTTAAAAATCATTTGATTTGCAGAATTTTTAAGATATCAAAAGAAATATTGTTTTCCCTAATATTTGTTGATGCAAAAGGAAGTCATGATGCATGTGTATGCAGTGATGTGTCATGAATTTATATTTTAGAACTGATTTGTTTTAGTTGTTCTCTCATTTTAAGATTTTTTTATATTGTTATATTCTTTGTATTGTCTTTAGTTTCTGATTGTGCAATACTTTTGAGTATGATAGTGAAAAATTATCTGCTCTTTGCACCAAATTAATTAACAAAGAAACAAAAACCAAATATTAATTATAATAAAGTATTTTGATCAATAAATTGTCAACTGATTTGTGTTTGTCTCTCAGCTGTTCTAAATCCTTAACATTTTAGTGTACACTCTAAAAGAAAACCAAGGTCAAGATAGAACAGTGGTGGAATTTTGTTTTATACTCCTAATAATATTCTTACAAAATTACATTAGACGTTTCTTCCAGAAAATAAATTCTCTTTTTTTCCATTGAAATATACTTTCAAAGTATTTTCCTTATGGGAGAAAAAAATAACAAAAATGCGAGATAAGGCAAGAAACTTGGATTTTGCATTACAGAATGGACATTAATTCAGATTCTCTTATGATCTACTAAACTTTTAGTGTATGAAGTTGGGTCATCCATGAAGTAATGAGGACTTTGCTGTACTTGATAGCATATAAGAATTTGCCTCTTCATTTTTTTTTCCACAAAAGTAGGTAAAAAAAAATATCTCCCATATCTTATGCATGAAGTTATCTGATTGTCTAATATTTACTCAGATGCCAGGACTACCCATACTTATACCTTACCTAACTTGATAATACAGTAACCCATTAATTACAGATTATATAAATTACAAAATATAACTCAATGCAAATGGTGAAAATTATTGTAACTGATGGAATTTTAGTTCTATCTTTGAGTTAGAAAATCAAATAAGCACTCCTTCCTTCAAGCAATCAGTAATCGGAAGCTATTTAGTCCGTGAGAGTAATTTAAATTTCTTTCTCTTCTCTCACAATAGTGAGGCAGGTTATTATTGTTTAAGTTCTTTGTGAAAAAGATTGATCAAACTAAGATTTATCATCTAATAGTGAAGAATTTACAACTGAGGACACAGTTGATGATTTATCCATTAACAAACAAATATGCTCATCAGAAGCAAAATAAATTTTTTTACTTTTACTGCAGATTTGGTTGTAAAAATAAAGAAAATTCATGCTTATATATATATATATATAAAAAATCTATTCCAAATGCTAAAGTATTTTTGAAAAATCAGCTCCTATGAAAAAGATTTTTAAATAAATATTTTATACATTCTTTAAATCTTTATAAGCCATTTTCTTTAGCAAAGTTTTTATTTATGCTGTTTAAAATCATATTCAAGTAAGAAAAAATAAAAAGATTGAAAAAATATTTTACTAACTGGCCTGTATGTAAACTTGCTTCCACATGTAGAAAGTAGCAACTGAAGGACTCCTGTAAAAGTTGGGGTTTTATATGCCATCAGATATAATACTTATGCCCATCTCCTTTCCAAGTAACTTGCAAACAATGGTACTGAGTTACAGGAGACGAGCAGCAGGAATAATTTCTGACCTTCCCCAAGCTATTAGTACAAAAGTGAACATAAACTAATTCAGCTGAAATTTGAATTTGAAATCAGCTTGAAATTTGTTCACTAATAGTATAATTCTACACTTACTATAGCTATAGTTAAGGAGGATGGGGTAGCAAGTGATCTGTTTCAGTTTCTTCCCAAAAATGTTGTTTGTTGATTGCTTAACTGAATTAATGCAAATGATAATTATTTTATTTCTATTAATTTCAACTGATCTGCTCTTAATTTTTTCAGTGTTAACACTTCTCAATATGTTTTATTACATGTACAAAGGCTATATATTAGCTTAGAACAAATTTAATTTTACTTTTGATAATGCCAAATTATCTTGCTGGTTGCAAATAAAAAAAAAGAAGCCAAAGTAAATGCTCATCTTCAAACAGCTTTTTATTTTATTTCTTGTGTGATGAATATATTTACCTATTGCACTGTGATAAAATTTTAACAGTTCACATAAATATTTCTCCACTTTGGTCTTACAGAGTTTACAAGTATTCAGATTATAAAAGATTATATAGAAGATTGTGCTCTTATGATTATGATGCTTATCACTAAATCCAAAATCTACCCTGAGTTGGACTGGAACATTCTCTTAATGCAAAATCTAATGTACTATCTTCCACTCTGCTGTGACAACTCTGTATTGCCTGGAAATATTTAAACTTTATTTTTATTGTTTTTCTTAGTCTACGTGGATCTGAAAGCAGTTATAATCAGACAAAACATGGTTTTATGAATGGCTAAGACTGCTGCTCATTCTATTGTTGAGTAAAATGTGAAGCCTGAATGATTGTATTCTGGAAGGGAGAGAGAAACTAGAGGAAGGGGAATTTGTGAGTCATTCTTTTTTATCGTAAGTAAGTTGGCACCTCTCTGCTACCTGTTCATTAGTTTGCAGCATGCTGCAACTACCCTCTCTGTTTCTGCTAGGGAATAATATCTGCTACTGATGGAAAACCAACCATAAATGCTGCCACCTCAGTTACGTTTGGTCTCTGGCTGCAGGCTACTT